CTTTATTGAGTATAATCAAGACATAACAGAAAATAGGAGGTGATGCTGGACAAAAGTTTCTGAGATGTTCTCCCATTCTAAGTAAAGTTATTGGTTCCTTTTTACTTTAACAAAAGTAGCATCATAGTCTGTTCAACAGCTACAAAGAAGTGGACAGGCATCTCTTTAGGCACACTGTTGTTTTCAAGGCCGAGCGTGACTGTGCAATGGAAATGCACTGTGTTTACTTTACACACAGGCAAGAAGTTGGGGAATAAGTGCCCTAGAGGGAATATCTGCAGCTCATTCTAAAAAAAGCCCAGATATCTTGGGATAGCTCAGTGTGGAAGTACCTTGCCAACAAGTTTCATTCAGTAGATCTGATGCAATGTCATAGGCTTGTTCATTCAGCTTTACAAAAATTTAACAGTAAGTAACTGCTGGAACTAAGAAGCAGAGTATACAGTGATTATTACCAAGGAAAGAACATCTCAAACTGTTAAGTGTTTGTCCGATATAGACAGTGAACACTGAAAACTAAAATAAAGAAAGAAAACACATCTTTGGGGAGTTAGATGCACTCACAGTGAATGTGAATAAAATAACATCAGTGTCAAATAGTTTAGGGTGGCACAATTTACAGTTTTAAAGGAGGAGGATAAATGGGACATTCAAAAGAGATTCTCAAGGAACAGCAGAGAATAAAGACAAAATAAGAAAACTTAGGGGATAAGAGTTAAAGAAAATTCTAATATCCAAATAAATAGAGTCTACATTTTAGTTAAACCAATACACAGTACACTGAAACACACATACACGCACACACGCACACACACACACACACACACACACACACACACACAGAGAGAGAGAGAGAGAGAGAGAGAGAGAGACAGACAGACAGACACAGTCTAGTTTTCTTCCACTTTAACTCTTTAAATGAGCATTCTGCAGCTCTTTGTGCCTATACTCTTCTGTACTTACAGACTCAATCCTGCCCCTGATCTGCACTTTTCATATAGAAGCATTCCATTCCAGCTAGAACATACGGTGCAGCTTATGTCCCAATTTCTTTAATTTGAACTGACCTTGAGACTAGCTAAGGACAGAAGGGTGTGGCAGAAGTGATGATCTGCTGGTTCTGAGCATAGACCTCAATAGGTTTGCCCACTTCCTCTCTTGGAACACTTGCCAAACGGTTTGATCAGGCCACATGGAGCAGAGAAGAGCTGACTGTAGACACCAAGAGCCTCTGCACTGCCCAATCTTTTCAATCCAGCAGCTGACTGCAGTATAGAGATTTGCTCAACTACCCAGAACTGCTGATTAGAAGAGTCCTGGGCTTCACATATGGTTCAAGATAATATGTTATGGGAGTCAAACAACTGAAATACATACAACGTTCTTATATCTCTAAGACAATACTTATCACAACATGTCCATATTAGATTTAAGGACTTGGCGATCAGCATTTGCTCCTTTGGGAGAAGTCATAGTCATTCTCACTGTGTATTTGCTGTTTACCACTTAAGCTGTGTGCACAGCAGGCACTCATAGTTTGATGAAATGAACTGAAATGAAAATCTAATGCTAATATTCAACAGCATTTTTACTTCATGTTTTGCCACAGAACTGTTAAAAAGTCAAGAATCACTAAGAATCTATTGTTGGCCCTCTACAACTTCTAAAGATTACTAACTAGAGGCCAGTAACTCCAGGAGTGTGTATGCCACTTTTAAAAAGTTCACTAAATGAGGGTCTATTTTGTCCTCAAACTTTAACATTACCTAAGCTTGGAAACTGAAATAAATATACACACTTTTTTGTAAGAAAATTGTACTGAAATTGAATTTTTATAACATAAGTATAAAATGCTAAAAAGAAAGACCTTTCAATTTGTACTGTATAGTTTATTATTAATAGCAGATTTTCTAATCCTAGAATCTTAAAAAATGAAAAGTGTATGTCAATGTATTTTACCTCTGAAATATCGTGAAAGCTTGTAAATCCAAAATGTCATTTCCCTTTTTACCTTAAGAAGTAGTAAAATGGAAATAAAGTAAGTGAAAAGGGTAAACAGCTTTTTGATCCACATCTAATTTTCTCTCTAATATAATTGCAGAGCTTTCAAATGACACTCTACCACCACTATAGACTATACAGAGACTTTTTCATCAGCATTCATGTTTTGAATATGTTTTACATTAGCATTCACCTAATTGCATCTGAAAGTCTAACTGACACAAGAGAACATGAACACACGATCAGCATGACACTACTAGAAGCCAGAGAGGCAAACAACCAGCACCTGGATGGCACTGGGAGAGCATGCATAGTACAGTACATCAAGACAGGCCCTTCTCACATGGACATTCACCATACATTCTGCCTTTTGTGCCTCTGCTTGGGCCAGGCACAGCTATTAAATCTGTTAATAAGCTAAATAATGAAATCAGAGCCTAAAAAGGTTTAGAGCTGTGAGAACGCTGGAATCTGTGAGACGATGCATCTGAAAGAACAGGGCTAGAGAAAGCCCCACATCCAGGTTCAGTCATGAGACCATCTACAAGTTAGGCAGGAAGCACTATTGCAAGAATAAAAGACACCAGCACCAGGAAAGGGGATATCTGGTAGCATTAAGAACAGAAAGTAAAAGCCACAACTTCTAAAACAAGCAGACAATAAACACAGACTCAAAGGGTTATCCTTGAGATAGGGTATGGCCATTTTCATGATAATGAGACTGCCTGATGGTGAACTTCTTTCTTTGGGTAGAGTTCTCCCCAAAGGAGACACAACACACAGTCTGGGTTGGGTGTTCTGCAAAGACGAAGGAATATGTCAAGTTCTAATTGTACAGTTTTAGGACTAGCCTCCATTCCCAATTTAAAGTTCTGCTTTAGGATTGTAAGGAATTCAAACAACAGGACACTTAACCATGTCTCATCTTATTTAACATAAGTTAGTCCTATAGTAACATACAAACAGGAAGTCTCCCTGTAGTTTGAACATCTGAGAAGGCCTAGATGAATGAAAAATAAAAGCTGTTTTCAGAACAGGATGTGAAAGAATCATTTTGCATTATGTCAGTCTATCCATTAACACAGCCTTAAACTAAGGACGTGGTTCAAATCATCTAGGCTGGGAATTGTCCCTTTCCTACTGCTATAACAGAGAAAGGTGTGAGTAGACTTTAGATGACACGTTGAAGAGGAAGAGACACAGTCTGTCATAGTCAGTAAAATTTTGTAGTTTGGGCTTTATCATTTAAGCATCATAAAAGAAACTCTGGGTGCGGGGTGCAGCACAAATAGGAACTTCAGCATCCACAACCCCAATGCTCACCTGGAGCTCACAGGTACTGGAGCATTCACCACTGACTCAGCCCACCTCACCCTGCATGTGCTTTCCCACTTCTCACCCAGATCACATTGTCTGTGAATTCTATAGGTGTCCAAACCACAAACTAGTGAATGACATTTCCTTTGCATCAACAGCGGAAAAGGAAAGACTTTTTCTAGTATATGTTCTTCTAGTGAAAATCACTTTCTGTTTTCCAAGAAGCATGAATTGGCTTCGAGGTTTCAGAGAACAAATTGGCGAGGGAAGGAATGGATCCCCACTGAACCCTAAAGCAAAATCTCAATCTTCCCATCTTAGATAAAAGGCTAAAACTTGGGTACCTCAAATCTAAAGGTGGAAGGTGTTCAGTGTGGAGGGATATAGCTCATTTCTGACAATGCTAGGAAAGCATTATGAGAAAGAACCCCAACCCAGCCCCCAAATATTAAGTTGACACACGTTTCTGGGACGTGGTCTGAATCCTCAAACCTTGGCAGGTTTATAGACACATGATTCTGCTGAACAGGGCTTTCCAAAATTGTCATTGATGACAGATTACACTGCCCATCCACAAGGGTCCAGGGCTAGCTCAGGCCATCCATTATGGGTTAAAAGCTATTCCGGCAGGAATCCAGTCACAGTGGTAAGGAGGTTACCCAGACAAGGGGTTCTACAGCTTTAAGAAACACCCTGGGCATCTACAAGTTTTCAGAATGCAAACTATGTCAGCTCTGAAAACAAGAGGCACTGCATCATTATGGCAGGAGAAACAAAGCCAGCCCCCTTCTAAAACAGACAAAAAAAAAAAAGATTGTTTTAATAGGAAAGAAGCATCAGTCATTGATGCTCACTTCATTTGCACTTTCTATCCAACCCCATCCATCTTCAGAGTGAAGAGATGACAGAGCACAGTTACAGCTCTCCCTTCTGGCCCCCACACATCTTTTTCTACTATACCCAAAACACCAGGCCTATCAACCCACCCCTTCTAGCCTGCAAGAACAGCACTATGGGTGGCCTTTCTTTCGTGTGGACTTGCCAAAGCTCAGGTAGACCTAAGTACTAGCCGCTATCATGACACTGTAACAGGACTTCCCATCTGGCTAGCGTGTCTGGTCAGAACCGTAGAAAACCACCTTCGAGCACTACCCTTCTGTCGCTGATGGCTGACCACATTTTACACAGGAGGTAACAGAAGGTGTGAGGCAGCAGAAAAAAAGTCAACAAACTGGACTAACAACCCAGGAAGGAAAACATTTCATTTTCCTTTGACACTGCAGGCCACATTATCCACACACAAAGTTCTCCAGGCGGGCAGTCTCTGCATCAGTGCACCTGCTTAGCATGGGTTTGACGAGTCATCTTTTTGCTGTGTCTGCAGAAGTCAATGGCTACACAATGGACCGCATCACTTGAGGGTCACTTGAGTCCCTCTACTCTGTGGATCCCTCTTCCCACCCCCTGCCTTCCCTTCTACCCACAAAACCTTTACTCCACCATAGCTAAGGATCTCAGATAGCTAAATAAAAGAGGTGGCCTCAAACACAGGGAAAAGCCCTTAGGTCTCCAGTGTGAATCACCAATGCCAAAACCCCTCCCCTCCCCTCTTCCTTAAGACCTGATGGTCTTCAGTCACACATCTTAAAAGAAAAACAAAAAACAAAAACACAAAGACTTACTTGTCTCAAGTCGATGAAGGCCAACTGCAGCGTGTCCTCCTGGAACCCAGGCACCGGGCCGGATCTGGCAAACTCTGTGGGAAAGAAAAGAGGATAAAAAGCGCCTTTAACTAACCATGGACAGGGAGATTGGCAGACGGATGACAGGGAAGACAAGAGAGGCTGGGGGAGAGGAGGACTGAGCTTCTAAGGAGTCATGTCTCTCTCCCTTCAGCTTCTTTGTTGGCCCTTCAAAATTCGTGTCATCAAAACACCATTAATTCCAGCATCCTGACAGCAAGGAAACTGTACTAATTCGACCTGAAATTTATTCCCATGAGCCGCACTGGGCTTCAGAGTATTTGTTTTGTGAATGGACAAACAACTTGCAAAGGAGGAAGGGAGGGGGGAAAAGAAAAAAGTTTTTCCTCTCAACACAATAAAATCTTCAGCTGAGAAACTCTTTTCAGTTCCGAAAGCTATTTATATTTCAGATCGCTGAAGGAATTTTCTAATTTCACGCTTGTCACCTCATTCCCTAAGCATTTATCAAAAATATTCCCTGCCACATCATTAATTATTCCCTCACTGATTATTTGTATTATCTCATGAGTGCCAACCTCCTACACAACACATACGCACACACACCACTAGCAGAAGCAGTAGCTGCTGCCGCTGCTGCCCTGATCTGAGTTTGGCTTAGAAAAGCAAAGAAGTATTGGCAGATATAAAGATGCCCACCTGGATGAAGCTTACTGCAAATGTTAAGGGACATTTGCATATGCTTGTCCTTCTACTGCAGTCTTTGCCCTTGACTTCATTTTCATGCTAATAAAAATTCCATCTTCTCTCCCTCCACCTGTCTCCTCTTAGGCTGAAGAGGTCACATGGATGCTATTTGTAGTTACAGTAGCACCTTGAAACCATGATCCCTTTTAATTCTGGCTTCCATGTCATTAACAAGAAAAAAATTACCTAGGGCTACAGGGACAAATGCTAGTACTGGTAAGAATGTCAAGTTTTATTGTCCCTGAGCTCTGCTTATTAGGAAACCAAAAGGTCTGAAGTTCCCTCCACAATGACAAGCACATATACAGTCAAGATATGCGTATTTACTGAATCTTCAATTCTTCTTGTGAAGTCAAAGCATGATGAACATTTCATATCCATCTACTAATTACATTAACATCAGCTGGAGTACTTAAAAATACATGAAGTGTTTTCTTTTCAAACACATATTCCCCACCCAAGTTGGAATTTGAGAACTCATAGAACTGGTATATTTTTCTTTTTTTATAGCTGGAAAACTAGGTGACTCTCTACACAGGATATATTCAAAAGATGACATATGAACAATGACGGCTGCTCATTTGCCTGTGTCTCCTCTTTCCACCCATTTTGAAGCTGTAACAGATTCACAAAAAAATCCTTGTCCCAGTTTTAAACAGTAATGCCAATAACTTAGTCTGTAGCGACAAGGGGACATTATATGAAAGGATTACAAATCAATACGTCAAACTAATTTAAATATAGTACAAATGTACTATATACCTACATACAAAATACTCTTATTATAAACATTTCAAACAAAAAGGATACATAAAAAAGACATCGACTCTGAATATAGTGTCTTAGTAAAGTTAGTTTGCTTTAAGAAGAAAACTCACATGCCACTTAGAAACCAACATTATCCAAAGGAGGACCCAAGTTTCAAAAGAGTAAAGTTTTAAAACTGTACAAACATTTGGTGACAAGCACATTAAAGGAAAGCTTGACACAGTGTACCCTGTATATCAATAATGATATGCAATGAGCAATAGAAAGAATCATATCTGATAAACTAGTGTGCAGGAACTGTGTATCCCAAATGTACATTTTCCTCACCTTATGCTCATATTGAAAGCAGTTCTTTAAATTCTAGCTATGCCCTCTCGCCCCAATAGCCTTGTTAAGTGTTCAGTTTACACACACTTCCTCCAAGGTTGACAGACTGCCTTGAGTGGCTCGAGTTGCCTCATTTAAAGCATCATTTCAAGTCCTCTTTATCAAGAGCAGCTCTGGTTGAGTGAAAATGCCTAACTACTGAGATGTTCCTGCTGTCCTGTCTATGTCCAACTCAACAGAATTACCCATGCACACCACTGAAAGGCTTGGGAGCTAGGTTTGTATTCATGTCACTCCTCACTGAACATGCTCTCTGGAGGACAGATAAACCAACTCAGGAGTCTGAATGTGCTATATGCTGAACTCTCAGTCACTTTACCAACCTGATTTTTATGACTGATGTGGATGCCCCTCTGTATGCTGTGAATATATTTTATTACCACTGATTAATAAAGAAGCTGATTTGGCCAATAGTCAGGGAGACTAGAGCCACATGGGATATCCAAGCAAAGATAAAGGAAAAAGAAGGCAGAGTCAGGGAGATGCCAGCAGCTGCTGGAGAAGATGTGAGGTAACAAGACACGAGCCTTGTGTAAAATATAGAATAATGGAAATGGGTTATTATAAGTTTTAAGAGCTAATTAATAATAAGCCTGAGCCATCAGCCAAACTTTTATAATTAATATAAGCCTCTGAGGATTTATTTGGAAACTAGCAGACAGAAGAGAAACCTCCAGTTACATCAAATCTTCAGGTTTCCAAAAGACATGGTAGCCTTTTTATAAAAGAGAACCAGATAATAGTAATTATGCCAGGTACAACAAAGTGAAGAGATTAATCTCCATAAATCAGTTGTGGAAACATCTAATTAGTGTAAAATCATATTTATAATTTTTTCTTTGTTTCACATATATAATTCTTTTTTCAGTTCTGGGCATCATATCTAAGGCCTTGTGCTAGACAAGTCCTCTATTACTGAATTAAACTCCTATAATACTTACAATCCCATGAAGATAGTAAATTCCCTAGAGATAAGGACCTTATCACAAAGACTAACAATTATTCAAAATAGTAGATGTTCAAAAATATTATGTTTCAATTAAGCAGGTTATATAAAAATCAAGACTCACTAGACACATAATTGGTAACAAAAGTGTCTGGGTTGTTTCAGGTAAGGTCCTTAACTCAGGTGTCAATTTGCAGGCTTATAAACTAATGAGTTCCCTAAAACCACAGGCACAATGTCTTTAGGGAGACAGTATTTGGGGTCATAAAAATCAGAACTGGAGCTCCATTTCTCCACTTACTAACTCCTGAGTTCAACAAATTACTTCACCTGTTTATGTCTTAAAAATCATTAAATAAAACTCAGAATACAAGATTATTTCTTATAATGTAGTGATAAAGATTAAGCCAAGTCACATATATAAAGCAGTCGACAGAGTGGCAAGCATATCATAACTGATTATCCTTATAATTATATATTTTGCTTTTGTGAATATGCATTTCTCCACAAATGAAGGTTCATAGCTTTAACTGAATTCTCAGAGGTTTGGCGAACCAGTGCCAAGAAATATTGTCCTATGCTTATGACAAAACACAAAAAGAAACAGAGCTGAACCAGGGATGATTCAATGAGCAGATATTTATTTAAAGCAACAACTATAGGCAAATAATTGTTCTGTTTTGAGGTAGTTAATATGACTAGGCTGTTAGCCACAACACAGAAATTTTCATTTATTAGAAAAAATTTTAAAAAATGTATGAAATAAAATTTCTATAACCATAAATTAATATAGTCTCGGAAATATGACCTCCTAGAGTAAAAACTATATATATGAAAAAGTTAGTATGAAATGTGACTATTTCAAAGAAAAATAATAATCCATGGAGAGGCCAATTTCAACTATGTAAATATAATATACAAGGGACTTATGCTAATAAGCACCTACCTCATGATTTTACTCAAGGCTGCTAGAGAGAAGACAGTGATCTCTTCTTTGTATTATAAACTGTCATAACCCAAGAAAAGGAAATACAAGTGTGCAGGCATGGTGATATAAAACAGCACTGATCAGCAGTACTTCTTCTAGCAATAAGCGACACAGCAGGACAGGCTTACATGTACAAACTCTCAAACACTGCCTGACAGGTGGGAAGGAAAGCTGATGTGTGAACAAGCCAATTTCACGTATACATGGTAAGGTCCCTAGAGCCATGGATTTCTGACATCATGAATCCCAGCCAATTGGAAGCAGCAGATATAACCATGGACTGGTCCTTTTTGAACTTGTTTCTGGACAGTAGGCTTGCAGGCTTTTGGTGACCCATGACAACAAGAAAGTGTCCACAGCCTGGAGTTCTATAGGGCAGTCTCAGTACCACCCAGGAAATCAAAAATCCTGCTTCATTTCACACAGAACCAAATCCTCCCTTTCATTAGTTCCTGTTGCTTGGGGATGGAGCCAAACTCTGGTGAGTTGGCATCTGTTTGCTAGGTAAGTTATACTAGTTGCAAGCAGCATCAACTCATTCCATGGAGTACACTCTCTCCATCCTGTGCCCTGTCCTGTCAGGAGGGACTCACTGAGTGTAATATGGTACCAAGTCTGGACTCAGAGATTCAATTCAGAAATTCAAAAAAATGTCTAATTAATTGAAAGATGTGTAAGACATGTTAAAAGGAGGCTCACAAAGTTACAGCAAAATCAGCACATAGGGAGAGAAGAGTCCTCGGAGAAAGGAAACCACTGATATTAACCTCTGACATTCTAAACACACAAACCCTTTGAGATTTGGTCATCATTTTAAGAACTGTTAATTTTCAAAATATCCTATAAATTTAAAACTTGAATAATGTTCACAGTCTAATAAAGTTATTAAAGGATAAAAGAAAAAATTGCTAATTTCAAAGGTTCTCTAGATTTCTTTTCAGAAAGATGTTGATGATTATAAAGTCCATTATTTCATGGAAGAAAACAGAGGCTTCAAATTTTATCTGGTGCATTCCCAATTGGCTGAAGAAAACAATACTTTAGTATGAAGTGTGGTGAATACTAAGGATGCAGTAGGTAGGTAAAGTGCTTGCTTTGGAAACATGAGGATCTGTGTTTGATCCCAGAAGCCAGATGAGAAAAAAAGGGGGGTGCCAGGTATGATGGTGCATTCTTGTTATCCAGGAGCTGGGGAAATTCCTTGAGGCTTGGTGGAT